TGCATTATATTGCCAACAACAATAACAATAATAATAATAATACTATTAAAAACAATAATAATAATAATGATATTCATAATAACAAGTTGAATTTATAATGCCCATTTTCATTTTTCACGAGATGCCTAACAATAAAAATGAGAAGTGATGTTTTGGTAAGAGTTTTACAGCGCTCGCAACAGCAAAAGGTAATTTTTTAAATGAGTGTACAGGACACATTACCCTTTTCAGTTTTTGGGTAGGAATTCATTTTGAATTTTGCGGCCAAGACCTACTCTTATCGATTCTTGGACCACCAAGGGGTCTTTAACATGACAATGTGCTACTAGCACGGGATTTTTTTAACCCTTATCCGAGAAGGCTAGGTGCTAGATTCTAACCACCATAAGATAAGGGGTGGTTGAAAGACAGTAGCAAGGAACCAGGAGTAGTAAGCTTATATTTATTAGAAAGCGCCAGGAGCCCAGATTATGTGGGTGGGGATGGGAATAGAGATGAAAACAGATGACAGAACATGGTGAGAGAGCAGGAAAGGAGGTGGAGGGAGACAATTTAAGAGAAGAAAATTTTCCGGCGCTTTCAGGTTTCGAACCCGAGACTTATTGAATGAAAGGCAAACACCGTACCACTAGACCACAAAAATCACGTATGAAAAGTAAGACAAAAACATACACAACAGAACAGAAAACTAATGGTAACTCGGTTTTTCTGCAGCTAGACTTTGTATCCCTCTCAGTCCAGTTTGATCCTGGAAGCCAAGGTCGAGACCCACCTCCTAAATTATCTAAATTGTGTCAACAGGGGCGTAGAAAAAACCCTCTGTACGTTAAACATTAAACTTAGTTGAGGCACACCTGACAAATATATAGACGCTCGGGGCTTGGTCAGGATCGAGAGCTCTGCTCTGCTTTCTTCGGAATGGTAGAGTCTAGTCTGAGTGTCTTGTCAACCGTTTTGTATTATCCATCACCCATTTTTGCCACATTTAAGAGGCTTAACTATGTCTGAGACGGCCATCCGTTGTCTAGGAGGAAAATGATTGGCTTAGACAGGTGGGCGTCCTACACAGTGTCATTAGGATTAAAGAATATGCAAGGGGGGGGGGGTGGAAAGTGGTTGTGGTAGTCTTATACAGGTGGCATTAGAGCAGGCTGGACTGTACTTCCAAGTGGGGCATAAAATAGCACCTGTCACTACCCGGGTAATCCCCACCGCTCACCAAAATTACAAAAATCGCCCAGGTTAGGTTGGCAAGGACTGGTCTTGTTTGTTCTACGTCAAAGAGAAACGTTTTTATCGCGAGCGGGGTGGGGTGAGTTAAT